AACATTCTTCTATAAAAATGAACTTTTATTAACATATTTGTTGACTGAAATATAAAAATATTAATCTCATTTTGAATGTAACTATGTCCAAAATGATCAGAAAACAGTAAGTAATATACAGCACACCCTAACTTTTTGAAACATCATTATATAAGAATTAATTGTAAATATAAATAAGTATAAAATGCACCCATTTGATCTTATTTAATGTACCAAACTTAAAGTTTTACATCTTGCAAAAGTTAAACAACGTTTAGCGGATGTTACTAGAATTGGTGAGTGATTATTCATTCATCAGGACAAATAAAATGACACTATAAGAAAATATACTAGATAATTTACTAGATTAACAAGTCATATACCTGAAGATCACGTGATCAATAGCCAATTAGGAGAATTTCAAATCCGCTTGAGTAATTTGAATAGTTTTGTATGAAATAGTTTGTGATTAATCTGTAGATTAATTCAACATCGAAAATCTCTTGTTGATGACGCGCTCCGCCTGGAAGACTGCTATCTGTTTTTTTTTTCTCACTATGGTTCAGGGATGCCGTGAAAGCGGTGGAAAAAAAGTTTTTTTTCCTTTCTTGTCCGTAGGGTGTTGTGTGTGTATGTGTAGGTTGTTTTTCTCTTCTTCTTCTTCCGCAGCGCGTCGGTTTGGGTCTAGGGTGTTTTCGGGGTGGAAAAGGGAAGGACGAGGTAATCGTGCGGTGGTAAGGAGTTGTAGAAGGGAAGTTTCCGTTCCGTTTTCCCAAACCGACTGAATGTGCAAATCGTCGACCGGCGGGTGGCCTGCAGGATAGATTTATCAAAGGGTCTAGTGGGAGTGAGAGGCGGCGGAGGCGGTGGCAGCAGCAGCAGCAGAAGCGGCAGAGGAGGCGGAGGCGGCAGCAGGAGCGGGAGCGGCAGGCCGTTATGTGTTTGGGAGTAAAAGGGAGATGGAGTGCGAAAGAGAGAGAGAGTAAGGGAGAGAGCAGGAGTGATATAGTGAGAGGATGGGTGAGAGTGAGAGTAAGGGAGATAGGCGAAGCGAGGGCTTGAAGTGTTCGCTGTGTGTTTGTGTGTGTGTGTATGTATGCGTGTGTGTATGTGGGTTTGTGTGTGTGTGTGTGTGTGTGGGTATAAAGAGGGGTCGAGAGGGAGCGCTAACCGAGACACTTGCCGCAGACAGGTGGCCTCCCACGTCCTGCCGTTAGAGCAATCAATTCCTCCTCTCCCTCTGCCCCCCCTAAAGGCTCAAGCCTCCGGCGGCCGTACGCCGTTCGCCGCCCACCGACGGCCTTATTTCATTCCGGGAATTCGGAAAAATTACAGACGTCGCTCTCGGGAGAGAAACGCCGCGAATAGATGCCGTCAACTAGCCTACTGTACTGTAGTAGGAACAGCAGCCCACGTTTCGACTACTAACCCCGACGCAACGTCACCAAATATCTTTGCCGACTTCCGACTTCATTACTGCAACCCTTTTCTGCAACTTGGTATAAAACGGAAATTTGAAGAAATCTAACAAACAACCATTGCTCAATGGGAGACCAGCATCGATCACCTTTTGAGAACATCTATAGAAAAATAATATTTTAAAACAAAATTCAAAAACCTATAAGCACGAATTTGCTCTAGAAAAAAGGCATATATGAACAAAAAAAATATCACTGTATTTACTAGATGTATGAAGTCCATGTCTACATATTGTATTAAGTAATTAATTTGTCAAGCATCATCAAAAAAACGCATCATTCTAAAGGAAGATAGATGTTACTTACGCGCCTGACTTAATCGTATAACAGTATTGATATTTCAGGTAGTTTCATGGACGATTTTGTTCTTATATATTAAATATGCAATATACTTGCAGTTAAAAATATTAGTTATTAAACGTATAATGCAATATTATTTCTTTATCCACCAATCACTAACGAAAATACATAATGAAAACTATTCATCAATTAAACTATATACCGACTTAAGAAACGCGGTTGTGATCAAACGGAGCTATAATTAAAACTAGCTCAAAGTGTTATTTTGTATCTATTTTTCTTCACAACTTTCTTTCGTACTTTTTCCCGAAGCGCAGGAAAAACAAAACGTCCATTCCAGCATTTTCGATTCGACCAAAGTTGAGAGCAGCAAACAACAACGACCTTCCTCCCTCTTGTCGCCAGCGAAACGCGCCTCAAGCTTGTTAGCAGGATTAGGATGGGCAAACCGATATCACCCTGCAAAGTTTACAGATGACAAGTCCAAAGGAGCGGCGACGCCGTCGTCGCCACCAACGCCGCCTCCGCTTCTTCATGTTTGCCATCGTTAAAAATATTCCACGCAGCGGAATTCCTTCCAGCATCACACGACCCTTGCCTCTTCCTCTTCCTACCGCATAATTCACCGCCCAAAAATATATGAGGCGACTCCAAAATAAACAAAACAGAATTCTTTTCAGAAAAAACGAGACTAATAACAATTATCGCAGTACATAAAATACAAATATTGCGCAACCAAAGTACAGGACGATGATATTTGTACATTAAGAATGCATTATACGCAATATATAATATCACATCTTCAGAACATTCAAATTCAAATGCTTATATAATTAGAATACATCCTGCAATATTCTCTAATCTTTGTGTTTCTACATATTCTACAATTGTTTCAAAATAACTATATAGATTTATAAAGTCCAGAAAAAAAAGTTTCTTTTTCCAATTATAATATTCCGCAAAACCAAATAGTAATATTTTAATTTCTATTGGATTATTATTTTAAAAGGCATTATTAAAATACAAATGATTGATCGGCTTTGCCGAGATAAACGCTCATCAATCACCAAAATAAGACATAGAAACAATCTCTCACATAACCCATCGATTGTATATTTTTATTTTATTTGCCAAATCTCAAAAATACATGAAAGACATGATCAACTTCAAAATATACTATTAAATGTATAAAGTTTGTAGAGTTTTTCTGCATTAAAATATATTATTGATATTATTAAGTCTTTCCTTGATTATTTTTTATATATAAATATTAAACATTTGAAATATTGCACAGCCACAGTTATTGGTGGTTAATTAATTTTTCTAGTTGTTTTTGTATGAAAGTGTATAATATAAGTTACTTTGCTGATCTAAGTGGTAAATTAACACAAAACTAACGTTGGTCAAAGGCATCGATGATTGGTGATAAGCCAATTACAAATTTGACTGTCATTGATTTTGGGTAGCAGATTAAAAGCGGATAAAGGTGAAGTGCATAATAGATTATCAGGTGTGTGAAGTGAGAACGTGATTTTTGTTCTAAAATCATAAATTGTTGACGCGTTTCGCGCCCTTAATAGTCACGTTGTGGATGTATTAGTCGGTCCGTCGCGCCTTTAAAGGGGATGTGATTGTATCTGGCGGGCGCCAAGAAAGCACTCCCAATCCACCCTCGTCGATTCTGCGGTAGTAAAGCGTCCGATAACCGTGGCAATAATATTGCACGCGCTTTCTATGTAGACGGCGTGGGATGGCGAGAAAACGCCGACTCTAAATGTGTATGCTATATTATATATACACATGCATGAAACATGTATGTGTGTGTGTGTGTATTCGGTGGCATGTGATAAGAGGCATGTGATGGAGTGATAAGGCAACATGACTAGTGAGCGGTTGGGTTCGGAGTGTAGGAGTTCGGGTGGCGTTTGCGAGCGGATAGAGGCGGCTGGCGGTGGGTTAAGGGTGGGTTTTTGGGTTGAGGGTTGATGGTTGCGGGTTTGGGGTTCGAGGGGGAGGCTCGAGGTGGTATGAGTTGGTGTGAGGTGACGGCATGTCGCCGAGCGAGCGAATGCAGTCGGGGCCGGGGGGCACGTGTAATCGCGAGCGGTGGCGGTCACACATGAGCCGGCGAGTGAGCAGCACCAAAGCGGGGCGGCGCGTGTCTGACGCGTCTGGGGGCCAACTAGCCGCCCACCGCCGGTTCACCGCAACCAACAGCGACACTCAAACTGTTCCGCAACAATTTACAACTTCCAACCCTATCGCAGCATTCACTATTTTCCATCAAGACTTTATAACATTCATATACACTTCCCTTCTTCTTCGTCTCTCATATATTGTCATGGAGTTCTAAAATATTAAATATTTACGTATGCTACAGCATTATACAGTAAAACGCCGATTATTCGGTTCTCAATTTAGTGATCGCGACTGTCATAGTGCTTACATATTATCTTTTAAAATGTTCAAAAATGTGTTTTTGTTTTAATAGTGTTTTTCAATTATCCGTGCTTTAACGTTCCCGAATTATCACGGATAATCGGCGATCTACTGTACTTCCATTATTTTACTTGTTCTACTAATTAATATCAGCAAATGCATGTAAATAATTAAAAATATATTTGTCTCTGTTTTATTGTAAATATGAAATCTACAATCTTATTAAGCAATTTTCCAGATCTCAATAATTCTGATATTATTTAAGAGTGAGTTCAAATTTGTGAAACGTAAATATTTTTATAGTGCTTATATTTTTTTTTAATTCATTCTGCAATTAGTATTAATTTCTACAAAAATTAACTTTTACAATAAAGTTACTTTTTTACTGGAAATTAGTCAATTAGCTCATACGTTAATATAGTTTAATTAACATCTGATGTTAGTTTTTATTTTAAAATTACTTTGTTCTATTTCAATTTCATTTTATAGAATCGATTATAGAATTTTAAGACTATACCATTAATTAATATTTCAAATGTGAAAAACAGGAATAGATTTTTAGTAATTTTATTCGAAATTGGATGTGTTTCCGTCCAATTAAGAATTAATTTCTGGTGAAAAATAAGTTGAAAAAAGTTTGAGGACTTCAGGCAGGATCGTCGGTGTGATGTGGCGGTGTCGGCACGCGACAGAAGTACGGCATTCCCCGTCCCCGCGCCTTTCCTGCTATTCCTGCTGCTCGCACGCGCACGATTAGAGCGCCCCGAGAGTTCGTTTGGGCAGCAGCAGCAGTAGCAGAGGCAGTAGCAGCAGATCCAGCAGTAGTAGCGGTAGCAGCAGGAGCATCGGAGCGCCAAGCCAAGCACGATTTGAACGGATCGCGTGCAGTTTGAGTAGCACGCGGATGTCTTGCAAGCAATGACTGCCAAATCCAACAAGCGAAACAGTGAGCCAAGGAGAGCTAACAAACCACTGATGGAGAAGCGACGACGTGCAAGAATCAATCAAAGTTTGGCTGCTTTGAAGACACTTATCCTAGACAGTGCCAAGGCGGACAACACAAAACATTCCAAGCTCGAAAAAGCTGATATACTAGAATTAACAGTCCGGCACTTCCAGAGGCACCGCAGCCTGGACACAGCCGGCGTCCAACAATACAGATCCGGATATGCGGATTGCGTGAAAGAAGTTCAAAGATATTTGGAAACGCCGGACGCACACACGATGACCGTCATGGAAACCGGGGTCAGACAAAGACTTCTGCGGCACTTGGATAATTGCATAGCCGAAGTTGACACCGACCTGAAACCGCAGCAACAACAGAACTCACCACCGGAAGAGCGACTCCAATTACCGGCAGACTCGAGTACGCCGCCAGAAGAAGTGAACAACAACGCCAATCAAGGCCCCGAACAACAACAAAACCAGAACCTCGAACTTCCAACCAAAATGGTTAAAACCTACGACGGAAACTTTGTTTTCGTGCTGCCCTCGCATTACTTACAATTAGCGAACGCTTTAGGCATTAATTTGCGGCCGCAAGTGGAGAAAGAAGTTCAAGAGGAAGAGAGCGCCCCGAGTAATGAGCACGAGAGACCATTGGACTACAGTAAAAACAATGATGATGAAGATGTCCAAATGAAAGAGAATATGTGGCGACCCTGGTAATTTACATAAACAACACAACAACAAAAAACAAAGATAGTGGGGAACTGAATTCGACTGTTTCGTTTTGGTGCACATCAATGTATGGAATAAGCGGATATCCAATTCAAAAGAGACTGCTACATCCTGAATGATAAATTGTACAACTTTATCTCATGGACCTTACTATTCATATAGAGAAATAATTCATTTAAATGTACACAAAATATCGCAATTCGCCAAAAAAAAACTTTATAATTGTTATAAGTTATTGCATATTTACGACTCTATCTATAGCTATTGATGTTTCACAATTTTTTAAATGTACATAATTTCTATATAAATGTTCTTTACCTGTATATATAAATAGATGGTTGTTTTATATTTACCTTATTTTGTAATATATGTAAATACAATTTCATTTGATCTCTATTTTCTTGTTTATTTTTCTGACCACCGCAATAAAAAACATATTTAAATATATAAATCTACATTTCCAAAAATTCATTCATTTCCATTTTCATAGATATAAGAACCTGATTTCCACGCCCACTATCAACTTCCTATATTTTCATATTTCTTATCATAGATCCAAGGAAAGTAACTTAAATATGCTCATCGTCGAAATTATTTTATATAACGTGCCAGATTTTGTTGTATAACAATTTCTATTTTCCGCCACATTTTATTAACCAACATTTTCATTGTGCCAAACGTTATCATGTGACATAACTATAGCACAACAATTATTGGGTCACAATCTTGTTCAGCGGTAGTATTATCTATTAGAATATTTCCATCCTAAATGGAAATCGACAGAAAGACTATTCAATCATATACAGCTTGTAAGTACAATGTTAATTCTATTTACTCTAATAAATAAATGCTTACACCGTAAAGCTAGAAATTTGACTGTAAATATTTTAAATTTGATTTGAAAATTATACCAAATAAGTTATCATAAACAAACATTTCATATTTCTCAAGTAGAAAAAAGTATTAAGATGTTGGTTATGGTAGCTATAAAGTTCACGTTAACATAAATAATATATGAATTGACTAAAAGGATTCTATCGCCCGACTAAAATTGGATACATTTCAGATATGTTATTTGATACAATTTACTTATTTGATCCAAGTTACAAATTATCTAACATTATTCGTTTTTTTATACTGTCGAAATCATAATATTAAGTTATGCTTTTTTTCTATATAAATAATTAATTTTTACAAAACTAAAATTAATTTTAAAACTTTGAAACTAAATTTAAATCAAATCAATATAACGTCCAGATCTCTGGTGGTCAAACCTATCAACTAATTTAGTTTTATAGGCAACCAATATAGCTTACCTGTAATTTAATTGCATAATATCCTACATTAACGCATTCTGTATTGAACTAGCTGAAGTATTCATTATATCAGACATACGTCTAAAACATTATCGTATGAATGAAAAAGGAACTCGTATATCCGTGTGTCCTGAATTGATAATCAACTAGGTGACGTAACAATTCGAGTACACTTTGATCTCGAAATTTCATTCTCGAAGTTTCTACACGCTAGTGTCGGCGAGAAAATTCTGAAAGGATCTTTAGTTCACAAATAACTGCTTCAAAATGGTAAGTGTTCTCTTGAGATCACATAAAGTATAACGTGAATTACTTAAACTCTTAATTTACATTTTAATTGTATTACATGCAATATTTTCTGACCTTTTAGGCGTTTGCTTATCTGTCACGTTTTTGTCCGGTTTACAAAATCTTATATTTTGTTTAATATAAAACAATTACATTTGCATGCATATCTTAATGAAGATATTATGCAAGTAGCATATTGAATTCTTTAATAATTGAGTTTAATATCTTAATATGTGATTTTTAAGAGTACAAAATCGTTAAATTTTATAATCTAACCTCAATTTGTAAATTCTAGAAATGGATTTTCCTTATAAATTATAAAATATATTAGTTAACAAAATGATATGCTAATGTAAAATAACGTTATTTTCTGTATTTATATCTTGTACATTGATATTATTTAAGAAAATAGTTAAAAATTATATAATGAATATTAGAATATATATTTCTAATTAATTGATGTTTGTTAGCAATATCTTTAGAACTGAAGGAGTTATCAGTTTTTCTTTCTTATCACTTCAGTCTTCTTTGTAAATGACATACTAAATCTCCATTTTGATTAAAATGGACATTTTATATTTTATAATTTAAAGTGATACTAAAAATTGCTATAAATAATTATTATTCATATTTTATTTGATGATATACTACTTTTAATGAATAATTATTAAATTATAGTATTTGCATAATATTAATAACTAGTCTAATTAGATGTCTTATTGGAATATTGAAATTTTGTTGATAGGCATCCGCAATCAAACGTCTCGTTCCATTGTTCGACCGCATCCTTGTCCAAAAGGCCGATGCTGTAACCAAAACCGCTAGCGGTATTGTTATCCCAGAGAAGGCCGCCGCCAAGGTCTTGAGGGGAACTGTCGTCGCCGTTGGTCCAGGTGCCAGGAATCAAGTATGCATCAACAAATCAATTTTCTATATACAAGCTAAATACGATTTATTATTGTCTATAGGCTGGAGATCATATCGCACCTCAGATCAAAATTGGAGATGAGGTTCTTCTCCCAGAATATGGTGGCACCAAAGTGACACTTGCTGAGGACAAAGAACTCCACTTGTACAAAGAGTCTGATATTTTAGCCAAGGTGGACAGTTAAATCTCGAGAAAATTGCTACACGTTTATTTCGTTTTATACAAACATTTTATTACAAAACATATTAAATGTATTGTTTGTTAAATGCCGCCGGTGTCAATTCATTTCTACTATCTAGAGATCTGATCACGTTGCTGCATTTGAATTCATATTTTTGGTGCATTTCGTCACATATAAACCAAAAGTATTGGAAATATTTTTCTTCCTTCTTTTTGTATAATGTTCAAATTGTAGATATATTTTTTAGTTGTTAATTTCACATATTGTGGAATAAAATTTATATTAAAAAATACTTGTGTTTTATTTCTGGGCAAATTGCTTTTCTTCCAAAAAAATACCCCAATCCCTTCTAGAACAGCAGATTTAAAAATATAAAATTTCATTACAGGTAATCGTTGGAAATTGTTAAATTCGCGACTTTTGTTTACGTAATGGAATTCCTTTCTCTGCATTTGGTGAAATTAATTGGTTTTAAAAAGTTTCACTTTCTTGAGACTGAATATGTGTGGCAACAGTGGTTATTAATTTGTTAGGTTATTTTTCATAACACAACAAAAAACTAGAGTTATTTTGAACAAATGTATTAAACAGACATACAAAATTCAAGTAGTTGCACTCAACAAAACCATGGTGAGTGAATTTGCAACAAAATATGTCAATTAGACTTCTAGAACCTTTTATAAAATGTCCTACAAAACATACCTGTCAAATGATAATCTCCTATTTTGACAAAGTAACCTTAACTATGAGATATTTATTAACATATAACACTTGAAATTGCAGCATAAACTAAAATCATCACAAAGGGATAAAGTTAAAAAGTTCATAGCATTCACCCAGACTGGTGAAAACACAGCCATATTCTGTCTGTCACAGAACGATTGGAAGCTTGATTTAGCCAGCGATAACTATTTTCAGAATCCAGATTTTTATTATAAGGAGCCCAGGAGTGTGGACAAGAAGAAACTGGAGACTCTCTATTTACAATATAAAGATCCCAATGAAAATGATAAAATAACACCAGATGGAATCATCAAGTTTTTAGATGATCTCTCACTATCACCGGAATCTAAATTGGTGTTGATCATTGCCTGGAAATTCAAAGCTGCCACTCAATGTGAGTTTACAAGAGAAGAATTTATAAATGGCATGACAGATTTGGGATGTGACAATATTGATAAACTTAAAGCTCGCTTGCCCAACTTAGAGAATGAACTTAAAGATCAGTTTAAATTTAAAGACTTCTATCACTTTACTTTCAACTATGCCAAAAATCCAGGTCAGAAAGGTCTTGATTTGGATATGGCGATAGCCTATTGGAATATAGTACTAAAGGGTAAATTTAAATTCCTAGACCTATGGTGCACATTCTTACAGGTACAATACAATACATTTACATATTTATTTCCTTATAATTTTAACTTATTTATAGGAGAACCATAAAAGGTCTATTCCTAAAGATACATGGAATCTGTTGCTTGATTTTGCTGGCCAAATTGCTGATGATATGAGTAATTATGATGAGGAAGGAGCATGGCCAGTTCTTATAGATGATTTTGTTGAGTGGGCTAGTAGACGAGCAAAAGAAAACCAGCCTCACAGCACCAGTGATTAGCAGTGTAAATTTATTGTTTTCTATGAATGACATCAGAATAAAGAGTACTTTTTTTTATTAGTTTCTAGGATACTTTGATAGTGTGTATTTAAGATTTCCCAAGTAGCTCTGTACATATGATATAGCTTTTTCAACATTATTATTATTACAAATAATTTGTAACCCTTGAATTTTGGTGTCATTCAAGGTGATTTTAGCTAATGTAAATATTTATCTTTTTTAAATTGATTAACTTTTCCAATTTATTTAAATTAAATAAAATTATTATAGAGACAATGTCCATTTCTAAAATTATATTCAGGTTATTTATTGTAAAAAAAAATCTTGTTTCTATAATAAAACTGTTACTATTTTTAATTAAAATTTTCATTTAAAATTATTTTTTAAGGCATTCGCGATTATTTTATTGTACCTATGTAACATTTATTTTTATTAAAAAGTGAAATACCATCCAACATTTGTTATAGATTATCAGCATATTATACAAATATTCCTACGCTTCCATTTAAATTCATAACTTGTACGTTTCTTAATGTTATATTTCAGATGCACGCGAATAATCATATTATAATTCAATAAATAATATGCAAATAAAATCATGCATACTATAATTGAAAGCAATATTTAAACAATAAACATAATTTATCAATTGTTTAACGAAATTTTATTTGAAAATAGTTAAAAACAAATAAATAACATTTTAATATATTAAAAAAGAGATATAAAAATAACTGTAAATTTGATTATGGACGAATCATTAACTTAAAAAGAAAGTGTTAGCAACATATAAATAAAATATATTATATAACCAGTCCCATATACCGTGGAATGTAACAATTCTATGATATAGGTTTATACACTATATAAAAAAATAACGTATCAATTAAAATAATTTACATGGTATTGATATATCTTCTTAATTCTTCTTGGGTGTCAAAAATCATTACGTGGAAAGGTGAGCCAGGTACAAGTTCGTTCGCCCATTTCACTTCGACGCGGTAGTCCCCAGGTTCCGTTGGATCATACTTTACAAATAATGAAAAGGAATGTTAATTAGTGAAAGAACTTGATTTACGTCAACTTACTTTGCATAAAATGGTTCGATCTTTTTGACTTTCTCTTTGCATCTCGACTCTGAAAGCACCCTTCGGTCCTCTAACCCTGACGGTCAGTTGTCCAGCACCCGCACCTCTCGTATCACAAATAAATCTCGATTGGAATGTAGCCAAGACACCGTGCTCAACGCCAGGCCCATAAACTCTAACTTTGCTAGGGTCAGGTGCACCAGCGACTTTCAATGTAAATGGTGATCCAGGTACATGTTGGCCTGCATACTTAACAGTTAGGGCATGACGTCCTGCCTCTTGTGGCTTTACGTTTAATGTAAATGTTGCATCACCATGATCGTACAATTCGCAATAAGCTACTTTTCTTGGACCTGTGCAATGTGCTGTTAATTCTCCAGGTCCGGCCCGTCTTGTATCAATCCAGGATCTTATTTCTCTACCAACTACGCCTTGCCTGAGTCCTTCCCCGGAGCAAAGAACTTTCGAAGCGTCAGCGCCACCCTTCGCTTCCACCATTAATGGACAACCTTTAACGGGTCGACCACCCCATAATACAGACAAAAGATAATTTCCAGGATTATTGATGGTATATGTAGATCTCCAAATTTTATCTCCAGCTAAGCTCAGCATTACAGGAATTGGGAGATTTGTATCAACAGCATGTAGCGTTACTTCCGGATTGCCTAAAATATAATATTTGATACGATTATAATTTTAATAATTATAAATTATATTATCGTACCCGATGTTGCTTTCGATCCATCTATATTGAATACTGCTTGTTCTCCGCACTGTGCTTGTGCCAAACCTTTTCCTGTTAAGACAACTTGAGCTCCAAGAGCTATCGCAGTATTTGGCGTTTCAGGTAATCCTATATTAGCAAATTTTACATCAAAATCAGTCTCGCCCGAATTCAAACCTTCAGTTGTCACATCAAATTTAATACGATTTCCGTTCTTTTCACTAGATATTTTTCTACCGGAAATTTTACATTCCAAACTACCTGGACCAGCATTGCTTATATCGAAAACTAGTTTTGCTGGTAACTTTATTCTACCAGATTCATCCAAGTATTGATTCCATCCACCAATTAAACGCACAGCTGAAGGATCGATAATCGTCGGTCTGAATGGAGAACCAGGTAACTACAAAAAAAACGAATCTCATTAAATCATGTTTATATGCAAATTTACATTTGAATTCAAACTTACATCTGTTGGTCCAATGTTAATTATTATATCATAAACTCCAACCCACTTCGGAGTGTAAGAAACGATGTATTCCCCAGGTTTCGGACTTTGCACGTGCGAATCTAATAGTCCTTCAATTGCCTCAACTTGTACTCTTGGTTGAATTACGCTACTAACAGTAAAACTTGTCCGTTCTCCCACGATAGCACTCTCAAGACCTTTACCAACTGCTCTTGGCGGCGGAGTTGGACCAATAGCACCAACACCTATAATTGAATATTATTAGTATAGAACTTGTAATACTTTTCAATTTTACCCAAAGCCAATGGAGAGTTCTTAACCGGAACACCACCATAGGTAATAGCCACTTGATATAATCCAGCCATGGAAGGAAGAAAAGATACTTGCGTAGTATCGTCGGAAACCATTGTATTTTGAACAGATATCGTTTGACCAATAGGATTTGTAACTATAACTTCCAAGTCCGCAGTTCCGGCATTTTTTGTCGTTACTGTAAAAAATATTAGCTCATCAAATTTTCATTAAAGTAAATTCTTTACTATTTACCATTGAATGTGATCCTTTCACCAACATTTCCTTGAGTGCTTGGAATATCAATTACTCGAACGCAATCACTGTCGTAAGCTTGGCAAGTAAAAGGACTACCAGCTACGCTTTTAGCTTGGTGAAGAACTTCAACAGTGTGTGATCCAACATCCCTTGCCGTGAACTCGGCTTGCAATTTTCCAGTTTTTGTTTGGTAACATCTAACAGGTACCGCAGAGCCAGTTGGCCCGCTCACGACTACATCAAATTCACGAGCAGACCGCCCCAAAGTATCGATATTAAAGGATGTAACCTTCCCGACACGAGATTGATACAAACCCAAACCACCTGCCCAAGGCTCCGAACCAGGTGCTTTTACAGGAATCTAAATTAACATTAATTAATGTATATGTTATATCTATAATTATGGTTCGTAATTACCTCAAGTACACCATGTTTTGGTACACCATTATAGAATAAGGTTACTCTGTGAGGTGCTGCATGAATTGGATGAAATACGATTTCCCACATGTTCACGTTAGTTCCGCTTTGTCTAACACTGTGAGCTATTTCTTTGCTTCCGACTTTAACGCTCGCCGTAAGTTTACCAGGACCAACTTTGTTTATGCTAACGCCTACAACGGCAGGCCTGTGGCAAACCGCCTCTGGGGCATTGATAACATCTATTTTACTTGTATCAAATACGTGTAAAGTTCTTGAACTGATTAAATTATTGCTCTTCAGCAATTGAAGTTGGTAAGTTCCAGTTTGTGTAACAGAAAATTCTGCTTTGCTATTATTCACGGTATATTTAACAGGATGGTTATTGGAATCTATTATTTCCAGTCGATGATCTGGAGGTATATCGAAGTAATTTATGGATCCAATTTGCAGATATTGAGTAGACTCAATGACGGAGCAATGGAATGGACTACCGATAACGTTCATATCGTTAAATGTAATATTTACGAAATGATCGTCACTGGTTTGAGGTACAAATGTAACATCGTAAAGACCTCTGGCGCAAGCAACAACTTCCGCTTTAATAGTCGTATGCTGTGTGGATACAACAAGCTCTAAAGTTCCTTCACCAGCTTGAGCGGCGTCCACGCTAAAGGTAACGGGTTTTCCGACTTCAGCTGGACCAATATCATTTAAAGACATCTCGTTGAGTGCTCTAGTAATTTCATTTTTACGACCTGCGAACGCAAATAATTAAAACTTAATTCTGCATGCTTTAAACATATATAAATATATAGATAGATAGTAATCGTACCAGGTAATCCAGAAACGATAACTTTATTGACGTCGTAAACATTGCAGTTAAACGGTGAACCGATAACGTGCTGATCATTAATTAAAATAGCAACGCTATGACGACCAACCATTTCAGGTACAAATATTGCCATATATACATCTTCGTTAGAAGTGACTTTAGTTTGCATAATCTTGCCAGTTGGTGCCGTTGTGATGACCTGTGGCTCAGCTCCTAAGAGTGAATTAAACATTAAGTACTTATTTGGAAATGAGTTGGTTGCAAAAATACCAGCCACTCCTTCGATCTTTATTTCAGCTGGATGTCCGACAGCTGCCAACTCGATACCATTTCCGGTGACCGGAACTCTTGGTTGCGTATTGCCTGGACTCACTTTACAGCTAAAAGGTGATCCAGGAACTGCTTGTCCGTTAAACCTATGGAAAAGTGTTAGGTAAATTATATATTGCATCGTTGGATATAATGAATATTATTACCTGACGCTCAGAGTATGGACGGCGGCTTCCGTAGGTTTGAAATTAACTTTGAAACGAGCGTTTCCTTCGCTTTGAACAAAGTTGGGTACGTTTCGACCTCCGACGGCTACGATGATCTCCAAATTACCCGCGCCTGCCTGAGATGCATTTATGCTGAACGAGACAGGCTTTCCGACTACGCCATCGTTAATATCCGTAACACTGACTCGATTCGCATCATAAGCTTTAACCAAAAATGGACTTCCTTCGATGTGACCTCTTGGTAAACGAACCTAAAGACATATTATTTTTATTATAGTTTCGTATCATTCTTTATTTTTAATATATTAATTACTTCGACGCTATGATCGCCAACGTCCACCGGTGTGAATGATATATCAAACTTTCCAGGTGTTTCAGCTTGTGGAGTAATCTAGAATGTTGAGAATATAATATTGAAATGATGGAAAACTGGTAAAGGAATAATTATTCACTTGAGTGGGTAGTGATCTTCGAGCCGGACCCAATACTTCAACGACCGGAGCATTGGGACTCTCGACTGCAAAGAGACAGGCTCTACCAACGGATACTTTATCCATTGATTCCGGTGTGATGATTCTGGCTGCAGGAGTAACGACGCATTTGAAAGGACTTCCTGGAACATCCTGTCCATTGAATCGCAAATCAACTGAATGGGCAGTGGCTTCGCGCGGTGTGAAGGAAATAGCGTACGTGTGTGGTCCTTGAGCTTGGGCTGATGTTGGAACTCTTCCACCGTTTACGGTCACCTCTAGATTGCCAGGTCCAGCTTGGCTAGTTTCAACTGATTTCATCCAATAAATCAAACTTAGTTTCTAAATCGCTACTCATGAATTTCTCACCTAGGAATGTGACCGGTTTTCCGACGACTCCAGTTGCGGCTTCTTTGACTTTGATAGCTTGAACGTCGTAAACTTTGGCTGCGTACGGACTACCGGCAGTAGGTATTCCATTGACGCTGACGTTTATCCGATGCTCTCCGACGACCCTGGGTACGAACTCAGCGCGAAACTGAGCGTTGCCCAATGGTTGGACTTGGGTGGGCACCGATTGACCTCCGGGGCCTGAGCCAATTTTCGTTTTTTGTCAAGGATATTAATTATTATAGGGACTGGTTCATTTGGGGGGGAAGTATTGTTATACACGAGGAATGATTCATGAAGCAAATCAGTTAAAGCAAATATGTTATTTTACTACAATTTTGTGCATATGTTTATTTCATCTTGAACGCTTCAATCCATTTCAATAACGAAGCCCATTATCGTTTCACAAGTTATATTTTAACGCGTAGAGTTTTTCACTAAAACATTTAAGTATTATATTTTATGTTTAGCACCTATAGCAATCATTTTATTTATTTAAATTATACTTTTACTATTTAGAATCTTATAATTGAAATATTTAAAATTTAGTAAATAATAATCGCAAAATAGACATGTAAAATATTAATCTATTGATATCTAATTAATTACTTGAAAAATAAAAAATATGATCTTGCTAATAAATTTAAAAAAATATCATTCAATTTTGATCCTGTAATTCTAATATATTTCAATATTTATTATTATAATGAATCTTAAATTGAACATATACTAATTAAATCATTGAGAATTTGATGCTAAAATATGCAAAGACATTAACTGTTAACTTTACATATTCCAACAATAGAAGTCATGACCTTTTTTCTTGTTACAAACAATTATGTAAGTTCTGTTGACAAGAAACAAATACATCCGCTTATTAATGAAACGAATTACAAAATGTGTGTGTTATTTTTATACGAAGGCTGAAATTATTTAATTTTCAAATATATTGTACAAAGAACATTTAAGAAAGATGTGTATCATGTTTTTTAAATTAAAGAATAAAAAAAAGAATCAACAAATCATAGGACGAAGATATTTTTGGAAAAAATTGTATATTCGTGAAGAATAATTGTATGAATAGGCAAGGATGACTATAGCACGCTTTAAGAAACAATTCATTGATGAATAATATACAACGTACAAGCAGACCATATTTATATTTAAAACAAAATAAATAACTTTCGATCGGTGCACGAGTTTTGGTTTGAACCAAATTAAGTGGCATATGTCGGGTATAACTTTCACCGCGAATGAGTGGTAAAAAGTAAATGAAAACCTGCAGCGACTAATTGTAACTTTAATTGATTATGGGATAAACCATACGGCAGACGAGTAAATAATCCAATTATATGTATTTTTAAAATAGAAAAGAAAGTTGCCGTACTTAACGAGAAACCTGATAAAATATCACGGAGAACGGCGAACTACTTCTGTCTATATTATTTCTTATTGCCATTTATTAATTTATTTTATTCTTACTTTTGTGTTTTTATGTAGAAATTAAGTAAACCAACATTATAAATATATTTCTAATTACTATAATTATTTCTATTAATGTATAAAATAGTCCAATCATTAGTCACTTTAAAATATTTGTTAATGATTTATGTTCATAATTTTGTTAAAGTTCCATTTTATATTCAATTTTAAATTCTTACGAAAGTTAACAATAAGTGACTTAAAAACATACTAGTAAAATGTAGTCTCTAGTAGAGTAAAAACTCAAAATATTACATAAGATATATAAATAAATACATATAAATTTTGTTTATTATTATTTCATAAATAATCATTATCAAGTTTTACATTTCTTATTGTTTCCTTTTAGTTACTCAAATAATTAATTATAAAAATGATTAATTAGAGTTAATAAGTTCAGTTTAGGGCAGAAAGACCTATGATTAACAGCCCTTTGCAGCAGTTGAATTTTATTACATTTTTGTTATTGCATTAAGTTTTTTTTAATTTTATAATATATTGTTGCAATAAATATTATTATTATTAAGTTCAGTTTTATATTTTTTTCTTGTATCTTTTTCTTCATATTATTTTATATACTTATGATTATAATATGTATACATTACATTAAATTACTTTAAATTATATTTATCTTCAAAATTATTTAAAAGGTTTTGTTTAGATCATGACTTATTGAACGTTGCTAGAATTAAAAAATAATTTATTTCTTAAGTTTGTTAAGTTAAGTTATTTAAAATGAACGAAGTTAAAATGTTGATTTTTTATTGTATATTGTAAAATTAATCAGAATATGGACGAGAGAAATCAAACTTGATTAAATAGAATTAAAAATTTTAAAGGTCAGTTCTATAAGTCAAATCGTACAGTTTTTGTTATAAACAAAAGTAGATAGCAATAGTAAAATAAAATGTAATTTAGGTCGTTGTCTCAAAAACTTTCCAAATGCACGTTCGATTTATTCGTACAACTTTTTTTTTATTCGATTTTGTAATAGTAAATCATTGCCTAATTTAGCTATTTCCAATTGAATATTTAGACTATGTTTATAATATAAAAATCAGTGGCCACGCTTGGCATATGTTAAATTATATGATATACAGTGGAACCTCGCTTAACGAGTTTAATCTGTTCCAAAATTTCCGTATTTTTACTCGTATTTTTGAAACATATTCAAAAATACACATAATGTACAATAAGTACATAAGTTTTAAAAATGATGTAGCGTTATTCGAAACTTCGCTCGTTAAGTCATTTTTCTTATAATTAATTTTTAAGCGAAATTGCAAGGTGCTCTTTAAGCGAGCGTTAATTTGCAATAAAAAAATATTTCCTAGAATAACTTTAAATATATAAATTATTATGTTATTTTTTCAAAGTTAATTTTATATTTTTTTGCATACTAACAACAAGTGTTAAAAATATTAAAAGATTGATCGATTTATTGATCATAGTAAGAATACTTTATAATTCTAACAAGTATCTACTAACTGTATGTTAATGTCAACAGGTAAACCTCTTAACTAAAGAATTTATATATAGACTAGATGTCACATATAAGCTAGAAAGGTTTATGGTTAGAAAAACTGAATTCTAATATATAAGTTTTAGATTTATGGTCGAATTGTAAGAAATACAAGTAGCAATACGAGAATAATAGAAGTAGAATACACTAAACAGCCAAAAGCATTATAAAAATCATAATCATACAATGATTTATATGAAGAGACAAATGGGTTAAGCAAAGGAGTACATTCCAAAGGAAATAAACATATGTATAAAAGTTTTGATGTTTCGCAGGCAATATTAGGATAAAAAAAACTATATTAGATTCATAAAAAACAACAATAAAATTAGTAAAATTCGAGTAACATGTTAGTAGAGAGAATAGTGGAATAGAGGGATAATATAGAGACGTGTCTAATACAACAGACGTCTGTGTCCTGAAATCGAGAAAAAGAGAGTGCACATAAATAAAACAGCCAGATGATGCAAAAGAGAAAGAAAACAAACAGAACGAAATGCATGCATATATTTGATACATCTTATCTTAACTTAATATTCTTCGTACAATATTTCAATGATTCATTTTTTTAAGTATAAAGTAGTAAAATAACACACATATTTTGCTTCACATAAATAAATAAACGTACGCACATAATTGGAATGCATTCGACTACGATTTAATCACCCAAAAATTCTACAGGTATTCCAAAAATAAATGGGCGATTAAAAGAATAACCGAAAGCAATTAAAAGGTACTTAATATAAATTTAAAAAAAAAATGCTTGAAATGGTTTACATAATATTTTAAGTTTGGAAAAGTTAGAGTATGATATTAGAGTTTGATCTAAGAATATCTTTTAACGGCGAGCTTCAAAAGTTATTGGAAATTAGTCGATGAAATAGATTATTAATTACATAAACGTGAATCGACAATGATATGTAAATAAAATAGTGTTCGAATTCGATTTATCGTTTTATTTTTACAATACTTCATTTACTGTCTACATACAACGTTTCCAAACTTTAAATGTCTATATAAAGCATACCATAACATCTTATATACTTTTTTTTAGATAAATAATATGTTCTCACCCTCAACATTGACTTCAATGTCTTCTAATCGTCCCGGATGATTAATTAGAAGTGTGCTGGGTCTGTGCACGGGTCCGGGACCCGGCAGCGTGACGCTTGGTCCAGCACCGCCTCCTCCAACTCCCACGATCAGAGGACACCCAACTACGGGCCTCTTGTTGAAGGCTACATTAACTACGTGATCGCATGCTTCTGCCGGCACGAAGCTCACGGCGAATTTCGCATTGCCCTGAGGGTGCACTTGTGTGGGTATGTTCAACCCTCGGGCGGAAATGGTAATTTCCAAATTTCCTTCTCCCGCTTCGCTCGCATCTACAGAGAAGGTTACCGGTCGTCCCACCGTTCCTCTGGCCACGTGTCCGACGGTCACACGGGTCGAGTCGAAGGCTTTCGCTATGAACGGCGTTCCTTGTACGGGCCTTCCGTTATAATCCACGTTAATTTGGTGGGCTCCGACTTGGTTCGGCGTGAATTCCGCCGTGAACCCGGAGTGTATATCACCGGTAACTTTTACAGGAAGTTCTCCGATCGGTCCTCTCACGGCGACTGCCAATTCTGCAGCGCCACCCCCAGCAACGCCCATATGGAACGAGCTGGGTTGATTCACGGGAATCAGCTCCAGGTGAGATAGGCTCAGTATCACCCTGCTCGTGTCCGTTACGGAGCATACAAACGGACATCCTCGGACCGTTTCTCCGT